TTTTGCATAAACCTGAACAACATAGATAATGAGGTTTATTGTGATTTTATTGTAATGCTAACGAGTTTCCAAACCATCTCCTCTATTAACTATGATGGAACCCAGGCTTTAATAGTGTTTAGATTATTATATTTTTAACAATACAATAAGTGATAATAAGGAGTCTACGCAATGATTAGATTATAGCACATGCTTAAAATATGACACAAAAGAACATTGACACTTCCTGTTCATCTAGACTACTTTCATTGACACATTCGCCGAAGCCATGGGTACGAGACTGCATGTGTCCTAACCACTAGACTGGATAAAGCCTCCTATTGAGTATTGGCTATTGAATTCAGTAATCCGATTTTGAAGCCAGAATATTTTAATGAGATGAGATTTATAAATCAGGCAAATTCATGGCCAGTCTACTAATCGTTTGCTGTTTAAGTTCAGTTAGACTAAAAACCAATTATCTTTGCCTATGTTACTTGTGAAATATAGCTTCCAAAACCTCTTCGAAATAGTTTTAGAACGTTTTATATACCACATAATGAAGCTGATGGCGGCCATATTTGATGGCCCCCCATTAGTTATTTACCAGCAAATTTAGGAAAAAAGAGAGGCTACTGTCGTACTGATGATAAATTCTTATCTAGGCAATATTTGTCCTTTCTCACTAGTGACTAGAAACGTAAAGGAAGAGTTAAACATGTCCACAACACCAGATTAGATTAATGGTGGGGCCATCCAATATGACTGCCATTGACTTCACTCACGCACAGCAGATGCGCTATCTATTATTTCACATCAGTCCTAATCAAACAGGCTAAATATTAAAATGGTGGGAGAATTCTCAAAGGCGGAAATCAGTTATCATGCATGGGCCATTAGAAAATAATGGGTCGCTATAAATAATCATTATATCCCACGAGATGATTGATATACCTCACAGTTTAAAAAACTACAGTCTCGAGAGCTTTTCACAAGGAAACATATTGTTCATTGGTCTAGGGAGTGCTTGCCAAATTAGGGTAATAATTACCGATACTTCATGAACTATTTTAATGGCAGAAAATGTCGGAAACTGACCTTATTATATTATATATTTAGCACTATTACAATTAGATCAAATTTTAGATTAATTAGGGTAATTACATTGATACATTGCATACGAATATGGACAACTATGATTGGGTATAATAATCACGTGATTAGGGAAACACGACAATAACAAATAGATTTTGTGAGCTTGTGGCTTTGTATTGTGTTATATGCATGGTTGGTGTTATATACTCGATGAGAGACAGTGTGACAAGTGACCTTTTTATTACACCTTTTTTTATATAGGCCTATCTTTATCTGTTATTATTTGTGAACGTGTCATGGGATTTCCGAAAGGATCGAAGCCCCTTTTCCCACAATGATGACAAAAGTGTTTAACAACGCTAATTATATTGTCAGCCGTAAAGGCTAAAGCTGGATTTCAACAACTGGCGTGTATAACGCTACTGAACAATATATAAATTACATGGAAGTAAAAAGTTATTCCAAATTTCACCTGATCCCGCCGAAAATTAAAGATGATGTCCACTCCGTAGTCCGTTCTGCGCACTCAGTTTTGCTCATAACAACTAATCTTCATTTACAAGTATAGCGAACCAGAAGAGTGTTAGATATTTAGTTGGTATATCATATTTTACAAATGTTGCAGTTCAAAACGTAAACAAAGTTCGCGCATGTGCACAGGAGTGGACATCATCTTTAAAGGCTTATAGTACCTTATACTCGCAACTTTGGAATGGCAAGATAAAAATACAATTGAACTGTTTTTTATATACTGTATTTTGATTTCTTTTGTTGGTGCTTGATGGCATTAATTAAACAGTATTACTAATTACTATGATGACTTGACTCGGGACAGTGAAATATGACTTAAAATTTCCTGTCTACTTAATTAAACTGTATAGTGTTGAACCATTCAATTTTTAATTGCTCATATAAGAATACTTTTCAATTTAGATTTTTTCAGAAAACAAACACTTTTTTTTGAAAAAGTTTTTTACTATAAAGACTTACCGGCATGACATTATACACGGTGGGCACAAAAGACAGCAAATTCGGCCACGTACAAATAACTTTCTGTCGTTAGTTTGGAATATCACGAAACTTCCTCACAGGATAGAACTTGCCATTCCTAAAAATCGTATCGATTTTGTTTTTCGATTTTGTTACATTTTGGCGGGAAAATGACGTGCCAACTTGGGCGCCAAAAAAATAAACACGACCTAAAAACATTCTAGTAACTTTTTTGAAGAGATTGTCCTATAAGGATCTCAAAACTGTAAAAACATTAAAAATACAACAAGGCCGTGCGAAGATATGGCGATTCAAAGTTCGAAAAAAATCTATTTTTAGTAACAAAACGGCGGATTTTTCAGAATTTTAAGCACCATATCTTTGCACTGCTTTGGCGTATTTTCAATATTTTTACAGTTCTGAGATCCTTATAGGACAATCTCTTCAAAAAATTACTAGAATCTTCTTAGCTCGTGTTTATTTTTTTGGCGCCAAAGTTGGCACGTCATTTTCCCGCCAAAATGTAACAAAATCGAAAAACAAAATCGATACGAATTTTAGGAATGGCAAGTTCCATCCTGTCAGGAAGTTTTGGATATTCCAAACTAACGACAGAAAGTTATTTGTACGTGGCCGAATTTGCTGTCTTTTGTGCCAACCGTGATAATGATGATAATGATGATGATGATGATGATGATGATAATGATAATAATGATGATAATGATGATAATGATGATAATGATGATAATAATGATAATAATGATAATAATGATAATAATGATAATAATGATAATAATGATAATAATGATAATAATGATAATAATGATAATAATGATAAT